CGAATCAGATTAAGCAAACAGAATGTTAAATGACATTTCAAAAAATATTGAATAAAAAAGGAAAAAAGTTCTTCCTGAAATTTAAAATATTTAACGAAAAAATAATTAAGAAATTGTGAAAGTAAATGACTGTCAAAACTGCTAACGACGCGTGATCTAAGAACTAAATCATTTACATTTCAAAAGATATAACAACGGTGAAATAATAATTTATTATTTACTATTATTTTTTCATTGAATTATAGCTCATAATTCAATTAAAGAACTTCTTGCTGAGCCTTTGCGATTTCCCAAAGTTTATCCTCAAACTTTTCGCAGTGAAAATATTTACTTGTGTTTTATACTCGAGCAGCAGCAGTTCTCATTTAATTTTCAAGTCATATAATTTCATATCCACATAGCTGTTTTGAATATACAAACGACAGCCAAGATCCAATGAACTCTGAAAGTTATTAGCATGCGTTGACAAAGGAAATAAGTTGGCATAACTTGCATATTTATTATTGACATTTATACATAATTGCCCCTAATTAATATACTGGTAAGCACGCACACATCTACATATGTATGTTTACTTGTATAAGTAATTTAAAAAACTTTTTGGAACTCAAAATTATTATTATTTGATGAGTGATTTGATGATTAGGACGAATTTTGAAATGAAGAAAGAATGAGCCATGCAACATCGTGCAGAATTGTTTTAGAATCTAACTAAGAAAACCCTACTGTCTAAAAAATATAAAAAAAAAAATCGATTCAATCATAGAAAATATATTAAAGCGGCTTTTGAAAGCCACCGAAAGCTTTTTTTATTATAGAATACGAATCCGATTTTACTATCTTCTGGAAAATAGAAAAGATTAATTTCATTTAACTGTAAAATATTTATGGTTCTCTTCTTAAGTCGAACTATTCAATTTAGCTGGCTTTTAAAGATAAACAAATAAATTCAGCCATAAAATTCCGTGTAAAATTAAAAATGAGTTAAATTGAGCTAGCCAGCAATCGTGAGCATTTCGGATTCGAAAACAAAGGGACAGTATAAAAATTCGATGAATTGGAAAACGTAACTAAACGAAAGTCATAAAGCCGTGCGCAAAGTTCAAACGAGTAAACGTATAGGCGCTTACAACATTAGACGAGTAAAACAGAAGTGCAAATGGAGCAGCACTTACATCCATATTGGCGTCGAGTTGTCAGACGAAGATAAAAAAGCATATAAAAATAAAAGGTATTGTGAAACAATTAATTTTGCAGTAAGAAATAACAAGCAAATGGACAGGTTGACTGCCATGGTAACTTAAAATAAATTGATAACTTTCAAAAATTCAGTTAAATTGGTGTATTGGAAATGTCATGGAACAAGTACGACTCTTTTCAACGAAATTTTAATACATATTCTACAGACCATACCGAAGACTAGCATAGTAGCAATCCTACGAGGCTTAGTGCAATATTCGATTCCCCTGAGGCAAATAAAAACGACGCGGTTTTCATTGGCCTACCACACTAACAAAACCTAAACTAACCTTTATATGTGGTTTGCTCAAAGTTCATTAAGTTTTCGGAACAAAAGAATTGTTATTTCTCAGATTATTTACTATCTAAAATCGTTCGTCCTTGACAAAATGCTTATCTAATAATTGTGTTGGTATCAAAAATTAATTTACTCCAGGCCAATTTTGAAGCATTAATTGTTGTAGATTTACATATGCATTCTTGCAAATAATCATTAAATATCTTAATTATAAATTTTGTTATTTGTGAGTGTTCATTTTTAATCAATTTATTTTATTTATTTAATATCTTTATAGCCTCAAACCATTTACGCTGATATTGCTCATATCAGCACCTAATAAAGCATCTGGGTAAATTCTCGTGTATTTGGAATTATTATTTTTATTATTTATTTCAAATGTTATCTTGTTATGTCCTTAGCAACCACCAACTGGGCTTTACTGGTTCACTAATTGCTTAGCCTCAGTACTTGGTGTGGTTAAAGTGGTTAAGCATAGCTTAGTTTCTATATCAAAGCACTCAAGGAAAAAAATCAGATAAAAACTGTTTTACATATATTTTTAAGCTGTCGAGTTAAATAGCAAAATAAAACATAGTGTAAGTGATATTTCTGATCAGATGCAAGACCAACCAGTCTCAATAACAGCATAAAACTTTATAAGACAAAATCTCGGTATCTCTTAATAGTTTTCGCTTACTCACCTTCGGTAAATATCATTTTGTTTGTTGGGTTTTTACAAGCGTTTTTCACGTATTACTTTTATTTTAAATTTTTCCACATACATACATATTCTGCATTTCAACTTTTCAAACATGTATGTATATCAGCTTGACCTCCACTTATGTACTTGTAAGTAAATTTTATTCTATTTCATAACACCATTTTTATCCTATTTATTTTCTTGCTTTTGAGATGAGATAGTTTTATTCAAAGCACTATAATATTAAACATTTTTTTCTCAAGCTTATACTTATGTAAACGCATTTCACAATTTTACTTTACACAACACTCATTTTAAATAATTCTTTTCACACATGTAATTACATTTTTCTCTTACACGACAACGAATGCACTTTTCGTTCTTACTCGTCTCCACAACTTGTTTACATTCAATTGACACGAATAACGGCAGCCTTCGCTGTTTATCAAATCATGTGCTGTTGTTTATTGCCTGTTGAGATGAGCAAATGAGAACGGTGAGAAGCATAAAATCGAACTTATGCTCCTGCAAGAATGAAGTGACCACAATAAAAATAACATGAATGTGATACTGGCAAATTAAATAAATTGCAAATAGTTTGTTTGAAAAATATTTAACTTTTATGTTAATATGTTAAGGCACATGGAAATACATAGTATATCTTCCGTATTTCGCAACAAAAATACAATATAAGTTAGGATTTGAATTTAGAAGAAGTCAAATCTTGTCATCTTCACATGCATCTTCGATTTTGAGCAACTGCTAATGCACATCCTACAGGCGCAGGCGCAACTCCAGTCATTGTTGGTTATAACAGTGCCGTTAATTTATTCGGTATAACTTTTGAAAAAATGTACTGATTTCAAACGTTTGAGTGTCAATAAAAAGATAAACATATCAAAAAGGAATAAGCGGGCAGTACTTACTTTCACAACGCTTGCAAGCGTGATAGTTTAACAATAAGTAATTATTAATAAGTATTTACACAAAATTGATATATCCCATTTTCCTTCAAAATATTTGCTCTATTTGTAGTTTGTTAATATTAATGAACATATTGCTATAAAGCTTCAGACTTGTTCTTTCATTTTTTATCCGCGTGCCCAAAATCGGTTCTAATATAACAAAGTTATTGCTTTAAATGCGCAAGCAGTTTCTACATCCGGTTATCCTGCGCCTGTCGCTAAGGCAGTTTCACTTCACCTGCGCCTTTGGGAGAGACAAAAGGAAAATCAATTTTCTCGCGGTGGCTACCTTCTGGACAGCTTTGCGTGCCTGTTAGAAATCGACCATTTGTGCTTCAGCGAACGAACGCCACCGCGTGACTGGTGTGACCAGATTAAATTTTTACGTAACTTCAGAAAAATGCCGTTGAGGTTTCGGTTTTATTTGTAAAATTTCTGTTTTAATGCCATAATTTAATTTTTTTTTGTATATCAATATTAATACTTTTATATATCTATAAATATACGAATTTTGCCCACTAACTCAAATGATTTCAAGTGAAAAAATTTAAATAAAATTAAACATTTTTTGTGGTTTTCTTTATTTGAATATGTTTTAGTTGAAAACTTTCCTTTTACCTTACTTACTAATTTAGCACAGATTATTTACTTCCATTTTCTATTTATTAAGGTTAATATGTAAGTAACATATAAGTTCAATATTTCATTTGTTTATTTTGCTAGTAACACATATAAATTTATTTTCATATAATGGAAAATAGAATGTGGTAGCTTTTGGTTTAGTTCCTGCATCAAACGTCGATGGTATATTTATGGCTGTTCCATGTTTATTGCGTTTCACCGTCTATTGGCCTGGGTACAGCTTAAATATTTTTGGTTTGTTAGGTTCCCAATGTAAAAACTACAAATGTACGAGCTAAAAAAAAAAATTAAATTATAGGTTTAATTTATGATATATTTATTTTATTATATTCACCATCATTTATTTTGTTTATGCCAAAAGAAATATTGAAAAAAGCGGAATACTTCGCTGCAAATAAATATACGTATTCAATTCGCTACTTGCAGCATCCTACTACATATCCTGTCGCAAAAATATTTTCTGAGAGCAATTGCACAAGTACCATATAAGCATACAAGTACTTAGATATCAATGTTGATATACTGTACAAGTGGTTATTTTTACGAATTGCGTTTTAATGTTTAGTTTTTTGGCATTACTCAGAAATTATTCGAAAAATTTTGTGCTGATGGCGCACTTCAGAGAAAATCTGTAAATAATCTATAGCTTATATGCAGTGAGTAGAATAAAAGTATAAATATTGTAGCAATTTTTCTGGAAGCTAGTTTTTGCTACTCTCAATGGAGAAATTACTTGTGCTCGACTGCGCACAACCGTTCAGCTGTGGGTAATCACAATTCTTCATGCCATACAAATATGGTAGGCGGAAATTTTTGTGAATAGTTATAGTAATATAGTTGTAATCTTCACAATATTTAAGCCGATATAGTATACATGGACATTAACGGAATACACGCAAATAAATAATGACCAGCAGCTTCCTGTAAATATATACTATAAAATAGTATATAGATTTTATGACGAGTGCGTATATTCAACTGAAGTGTGTGCTTAAATAATACTTATAAAGAAAGGCTGTAGTACGTACCTTAAGCTGCTTCTACAGAGAAAAACTTATTTATTTTTATATTTTTTATTTTAGCAGGATTTTGGACATTTTCCGAATGACTGACATACTCAACCTAAACTGTTATGGCGTGCTCACTCTATGAGTTATAAAAAGGATCTTAATGACTTCTGTGAAACCAAAACCAATGAAAGCTTTTTGGACCATTTAACAGGAGTTGAGACTGAAAAGGTGAGCTAACTGAACACCCCACACTTTTGTACAAACTGAAATATTTTTTATAAGATTTATTAGTTCATGTCAGAATAAGAATTAATTGTATTACTGCGAAATATTTTAAAACATTTATAATAGCTTGTTCTCTATACAAATTCTTTGCTTTTTCGTGTCTCACTGGTTACTATACCTTATGTTATACATTCTACTTTATATTCATCTCTTTTGTAGGCGCGTGTGGCCATCAGTAGAAAATTGCATCTGGGCGTATCCGCCGAATCAAGGTGTGCATAATAACAGAGTATTTGAGTTGTATGCTATGAAAGTCCAAAAACATTTATGAATATATGTACGTAAATCAAAATGTATTAGCTGAAGTCACACAAGAAGATTATTATTAATTATCTCAGTTATTCCATAAAAATACTCATTGGGTAAATTAATAGTTCCAAAGTAGCTAAGAACTTTTAGGAAAACGCATGTCTTCGATTGACATTATTTATGTTTCATAACTTGGAAAATGGGAACGCAGCTTTAGATAGATACTGAAGTAATATTAAAATATTGCAATGAAATGAAGTGAAGTGAATAATTGCTAAGAATTTATAAGATCCGTTGATTTTAAGGTCATATAAAATGAAAGTTGCATAAAAATATTACTTTAGGTATACGCAGAATTCTTTAGACAATTTTAAGCAATAGCAAGTTTATAATATTTTATAACTTATATGTCCCCAAATAGTAGCAAATGGTTGTAGAACTAGTATTTGCACAGCTGCTGACTGGCACGAATATTACAGCGCACGTAAGCTCTGAGTTAATAGAGAAATGCACACGACAATTTGTAATTTCCTCCAAATACCCCCAACACATCCATGGGTATTACCAAAAAATTGCTTTATTAGCCTAAGTCCAATAACTGAAGTTCCAACGCAATTCCTAGAAAAGCTGTAAATTATTCATTCGTTATGTTGGTACTCATGTCTCTCACTTATGCCGACATGCTCGGCCTTTTTGAATGTTCATTTAATTGTTGACAGCTGCTTTGCTTGCACGTGTTTTGGATCGTCTTCGATTTTCGATTAAAAAAAATGGATCAAAGAACCTGTAACAAATTTTGTGTGAAAAACGAAATTAAGTGCGCGGTTGCATTCCGAATGTTGACTGTGGCATACGGAGAAGGTATCTTGGACCGAAGCAACGTTTATCGGTGGTACAAAATGTTCTCAGAAGGCCGGGAAGATGTGACAAAAATTGTCTTTTGCACCACGATAACGCCACTGCTCACACATCGTTGCTTGTGCGCGACTTTTTGGCCAAAAACAACACACTGATGATGCAGCAGTCAACGTATTCCCCAGATCTATCCCCTTTTTCTTGTTCCCTAAACTGAAGAGGCCCATGAAAGGACGACGTTACGCTTCTTTTGACGAGATAAAGACGGCATCGAAGGAGGAGCTGAAGAAGATAAAAAAAACAAAAAATGATTTTCTGAAGTGCTTCGAAGATTGGAAAAACGGTTGGCACAAGTGTATAATATCTCATGGGGATTACTTTGAAGGGGATAAAATAGATATTCATGAATAAATAAATAATCTTTGAAAAAACACAAAATTCGCGATATTTTTTGAACACACCTCGTACATACATCAACCATTGACATTATCTCGGTCTCTTAAAACCACAGTTGTAATAGGAAACTGAGTCAATAAATTATGAAAACCAATGCAAAAGGCATTCTATTTGATAAATAATTATGTAGATATAAATGAAAATGTGTATCTGCTCGCCAGAGCTATATTTATTATTTTCTTGGTCGTAGGATAGAAATAAATTTATTGACTAGCAAGTATTTTGTAAATTCCCTTTTAGATGTGAATGAATTTTCATGTTCAATTTTATCTGTAAATGTGCGTACATATTACAAGTATAGCATAAAATTGTCATACAAATTGGCCGATAAAAATCAGCAGAATAGAATTTAGTACAAAGGATTGCGTTTAAATTTATTAACATTTATAAACAATCATTGTTTATTTTACTTGTCATAATAGTATATATTTATATGTATCTTCATGGTTAAATTAAGGAGCAAATCAAATGTAGGGCAGTCATTTTATTTAAAGTCTCTGGCCCTTTTATAACTTTCATTAAATTTTTCAGCCATTTGCGAAGAAACCAATAATTAAAGCCTTTTTATGTCCGGTTGATATGATATTCGGTTGAACACACTTTGGAAATGTTTGAAGTGTGAAAAAATGGGAAATGAAACAGAGCAGAGTAGAGCCAACTTTTCGCCCCTGGTATTACTATTAGGAGAAACAGACTACATGTCCTGTCCTTTGAAGATATGATACTATAACTACGTATGTGAAAAATATTAAAAAACCATGGTGGCCACGCAAACTTTATCACTCAAGTGTTATGCATATTTTACTACACTTTATACTCCGCGGTAATTTTTGCGGTATAAAATATTTTTATTTAGAAATAAGTTATTAGTGACATATTATTAATCAAAAATACTAAAAATTAAAAACAAAATACGATCAGCTATAGATAAATCAGTTGAAAGGTAGTGAGCTTTACAAAATGAGCTCAAAATGTAAAAAACTGACATGCGATAAACATTTTTTTTTAATTCAATTTCATTTACACCATAATTGATATAAATATTTTCTTTTATTATTTTTTTTTTTACTGAAACACGAAGTTTATTCGATGTATCATTTTAAAACTTTAAAACAATAAAATTGGCCGCTTTTATACAAGCACAGAAAAGCTAATTTCTATCTTACTCATTAAACGTAATAAATTAAAATCTATAATTATAATTAAATATAATTAAATATAATTTAGTTTACTTATGCTTACAAAAAACGTAAAAAAAACAAAACTGAAGAAAATGGCGAACCAACGAAAAAGTACGAAAAATAATTAGTATAGTGGTAAGGTTTTCGTGGCCACGAGTGTCTAAGGACTTTTGTAGAGTGGTTATTTATAGGTTTTCCTCTTTTATTTATACAAAAAACTGGTCTACTTTTTATAGCAGCAGATTTAGCTGACAATTAGTTATTTTATATGAAAAGAAAATTCATATAATGGGCATTCGTTCATACAAAGTGTTTGACTCGTCACCTTTTCATAACTTTACCTAACTTTCGCAGTCATTTGCAGAGGAAACAATTCGCAAAAAATCAAAAACTTTCTGCACTCACTTTTTCGTTCAAGTGGGAATGAAATTCTTTTGAACACATTTTGAAAGTGTTTGAAGTGCGAAGAAATGCAAAATGAGAAATGTAGCAAAGCAAAGTAGGCACAATTTTGCGGTTTTGGTACCAGTGCCTGGGAAAATATATTATACTAGACGAGGGGTTTTTTGAAGATATGATTCTTACATAGTTATGAAATGTATTTAAATATTTATGAGTGAGTAACAGCAAGTGTCAAAAGCCTGTCCTTTATTTAGGAAATGATTGCATGATCTTATGTTGTGATTTAACTAAAAGATGTAAATGAAAGTGAATGTGTATTCAAAAGTCTCTGTGCCAATACAACTCTTTTATATATAATTAATTATATATAATAATTAAATTAAAAATTAGGGTTCAGCGAGCACAGAAGTATACGTACATAGGTATTTAAAATATACTACAACCCCGTTCACCAAACGCCAACCTATTTGCTAATGGGTCACTCAGTAAGTAAGAGGGAAATTATAAACATCCGACAAAATTACAACATGAGTCAAGTAAAAGGTGATACAGTTGTTAAAACATTACCACATATAAAATAGCTTAGAAACTTATGATGAAATTTACATACTCAAAAGTTGGTTGACAATATAACAAATAATTGATAGTCTAGACCGACGTAAATTAATAATACACAGATTTTTTTAAGAAGAAGAAATTCTCTTGGATATGTCAATATACCTAACGCTAGTGTTATTATTCGTGTTTAATGCTGGGGTTATCCTGGAGAACTTGTACCTTTCAAGAAACTTACAATTAAAATACTCAATAAATTACCCACCCAAATAAACATCAAGTTGAAATATTTATTAAATTCAGAATTCAGAGCATTTACTTTAACAAAAAATTGTTCATACAATATTTGAAGCAAGTAAAAGGATTGTGCAGTTTATGACCATAATCGCATGCCAAAAGAACTTAATCGATGTTGGAAAATTGTCAAAAGATTATAAAGGTTATATGCACTACATTTGAATGTTTACAACCTTTGTGAGGTAAATACGAAAGGAAGCAAATATTAGATAGAAGCAGCAAAGAAAGTTGAAACTTTTTATTGTTAACAGTTCACCGACTGTTAAGCTTAATCGAAAATTATTTTCAGTTTTGTTTATGGTAAGGGTATAAACAGCGTCGCAATCTATCAAACAAAGAGTAATACTTTTTGGTTACAATTATTGCAATGTTTACAGCGATGTAAGGACTTTTGTGGTGTCCTTTGGAATTAGTATTTCTGTTAACTTTAGTTTCCCTGTTTTAGATTTTAATTTGTTCTTTAATTCGCAATGGAAAACAATTTTTCTGTTTTTTTAATTTCGCTCAATCTCAAAATCCAGTTTGCATATTCGATAAAGGGTGGCGTAGCCAATGGGTCATGAAGTATTTTGCCTTTTATGTTCAGAGAAACTTTCATAGATTAATGTCACGCTCATATTTATAGCAGCAAGAGCAGCTTACAGCAACTTAACCCTTGTCCGCTTCTTGGTTATTTAAACAAAGACATCAAAATATTTCCGACAAGGAATAAACAAAAGGCTCTAACGGTCATTATCACCTACCAAATACTTACTGAACTGTAATTAGTAAAGTCAAACAACCACTTTCTGCCTCGAACTTTTTCAGTTTACGAACTCCATGGACTCCAGTGTAACTAATGGAACCTAACTAATGGAGTTGCAGCTTGTTACTGTTAACGTGGGAGAACTGTAGGTCAAAAAATACAAAGAGCAAATACAAGCTATTCTCCCCATATATTCGAATTTTTACATTTTTATATCACCGTTAATGCATATGCACTTACATTTGTTTGTACATAACCACAAATTACAAGCTTGTAAGAGTATTTGTGGTATATACGAGTATGTATATATAAATTTATTTGTCCAAATCTTCATAGTACAGTTCTTCTTCTTCTTGATTGGCGTAGTCACCGCTTACGCGATGCTTTAATTAAATATAATGGCTGTTGCACCGACGTGCTAACATCTGTACATATGCATACGAATATTAGCGCTTATTGAGAGCAGTTTGCATGCGATCTGAGTTGCCATTGGTATATAAATAACACGTGTACTGAAGATTATGTCCCACTGTATAAAATGTAGAATTTTTGGACTGTTATCTTCCTAAAAATCTTGTTTGAAGCTCATGATGATTTTGTAGTTATATAGCTGCATCTTTAAAACAATATTTTATAATTTAACTTTCCAAAGAGAAAAAAAATATTTAAAATTTTATTGTTATTCTTTTCCTACATCATTCATTTTCTCCATTTTACAGATGAAAAATTATTTCGGAGATGGTGATGGTATTGCAAGGTCAACACTTAAAAACGTGAATCGTGAAATTCATTTTTCCAACTGAAGTATGAAATGTATGTGATGGCTGCACTTCTGCTTTGTGACATCACTACGAGCGATTGGATTGCTGATACTGATACGACTGATAAAATTTGGTAATAATTTATTTTATGTGAAAATGTTATATACCAGCTCTTATTACTATTATGTTTATAGCCTTTGAGGCATTAGTATAGCTTATTTGTTTTTATGGTGAGACTCAAATGATTTCCACAATCATATCAGAACCAATGTGTACTACAAAATCAGAGGAGTTCTTCAATGAATTATCCTCTTAACCTCCAAGCGGCCATCAGCACAAAAGCAGCCTCGTGTTATATACTTGGACGATATTATAACGAATTGAGAACCGTTATTATTATAAATTTTTAAAGTAATTTACATTAGTGGATTTTGAACGAAGAAGTTACTAGAACTGAAAATTTAACCAGACACGCTACTAAATATATCACAACCCAGACACTTTCCTCAACGTCTTTCCAAAGTATTGTAATTTCCAACATTTTTATTTTTTTTATCCTATTTACATGTATCAATACTGCATTTTCGGCCTAAAGGATTTATTTTGAGACTATCGGAATCTTAGAGCTTTTAGGTTTACGATATGCGTCACGGTTATTTTACGAGTTATGAGTTGCACAACTGAAGCAAGCAATAAAGTTAAAAGGCGTAAAATTTTATAAAAAATATGAAAAAAAATATGCAAAATGATTATTATATTCAATTTACTGTTTAATAAGCACTCTTCCGTAATCTACGCACATATATTTAAATGGCATGGCTTCTTTACAGACGACTTTAGAGTTACATCAAGGCTCGAATTTTTGATAATTTTTAATCAATAGATTTTACTAGCATACATGAGATGAATGTGAATTTCTATAATAAAGCCGAAATACATTCTTATTTTCATTGCTATAATAAACGGTAGGTATACAATATGCAACTCTGCTACATTGATAACAAGTTGTTAAAAGTATCAATCATCATGCATCAACCAAAAGTAAAGAACGCAAATAGTTTATATTTATAATAAATACCGCTTTGTAATTGTTCTAGTTATCATAGTAGACCTTATGACTTACTATAAATGGCGGTTTCATATAACTTCCAACCTAAACCGAAATTTCAAATCAAAGCCACAAAAAGTTAGGTGAAACTAACTTAAGCCATTAATGTGAGGTAGTAAGAGTAATCTGAGGTCGGCTATATTTGGTGTAATTTGTTGATAGATATTCACAATATGCTGCGATTGTTACAGAAATTGCTTTTACAGCCAATTTTGGAATCAGCGCTGTATCTGGTTAATTATTAAGATGATTGCGTTTCAGATGAAATGGACTTTTTAATACAAGTAGTCAGATAATTATGTTATTTAGGTGTATACGTGGAGAATAGGGAAAAAGCTAAATTATTTAATTTTTCTAAAATTATACTAACTAACTAATACCACGGAAAGGTAAAGAATCACCTACGGATATATATATACATATCCAATCAAGAGAATGTTATAAATACGAGTATAATACATACACTCGAGGCTTATAACCAAATCAGTAGTTCTTGAGGTTTTATGCATGAATTTATGGATTATTTTCGGTACTTACATTCACTCTTAAGCCTTCAACAGTTATTGATTTTGTATGGAAACATATAATTAATCGCTATTCAACCATCTTTTATCGAAATTAATTTAACTAAATTCGATATTTCACTATTTTGGTTAACGATTTGCGGTCCTAAACAAATATTCGAAGATAATTTTTTAAAATCCCATCAAAGCAAACCTGATACGAATTGAACATTCAAGCAAATCAGCATTTAAACAACCATAACGCACCTTTAAATACATAGGCATTCAATCTGTATGCACACAAACATACAAAAGTGCTGAACTGCACTCTGGAAAATCTAATTAGAAAGGTATTAAATTTTACTTATAAATAGACACCTGTATAAGGATGTGTTTTGCATGTGCGTCTGTAGAAATAATTTCTTCGTTGTTAGTGCTAAAGACATAAATAGAACTATTTAAGGAATTCTTTTTTATATTACCGGAGAGACTCATTTCTGGAAATTTCAGAAATTAGCATGTTTTATTGTTATGTAAATTAAAAATTAATTTTAAATTATTTTATATTTGTAGTAAAGGTAGATACAGAATGAAATATGAAAAAATTTAACCAACCCAATTCTATAAATTCTGTAAAAAAAACTTTCACAAATTGTATCTAAATTCAGCTGTAAATCTGCAACTGTGAAGAAGCTACTTAGTTGTTGCTAAAGATTAAATTAAGGGAGTATTATAGTCTATAAATCAAATTTTGGGCAGTTTTTTGAATTTGAAAAAAACCAAAAAATATTTTTACTATTCATTGTTCTATGGTGTTTTTTTTTTATTGATATCTTAAGAATTCTGAAAAAAAAAATTTCACAAAAAAAAAAAAAAAATGCACAAAAAAAAATATTAAAAATTGAAATATGGGGTGGGGTGTTTGGAGGTGTTTGTAGAGACAGGTGTAAAAAAAAATGCGCCTCCTGGTGGTCTGAAAAACAAGCAAGAATCAGGGAACACGAAACAGTTTTTTTTTTGAAAAATGGCGACTGCCTGAAAATAAAAATAATTTTTTACATTTTTTTTTGAAATTCCTGAATTTTTTTGAAATATTAAAAACAAAAATTTTGACACCATGCAGGTAGAAACGATAAAGGATTATATAAATAAGGTTCACACTAAATTTCAAGTAAATCGTTTGTATAGAACTTGAGATAATGCCGGTACCGTGTGGAAAAAAGTTGTTACGAGAAAAACGCGTTTAAAAAGGTGAGTCTACCTACCTACCGGGCTAGCTACTGCGTCACTAAAGTAACTGTAGCTCTTAAAATAATTTTAGCTTTTAAAAATCCTTTGGAGGATGTGTTCTTGAGGATCTAAACTTTAAATATATGAAAAAAAATATTTTTCAAAATTCTAATGTAATACGCCCTAAGTATATGAAATATATCAAATGACTCATGAATGCACATAATTATATCCTGTTAAAATAAGTATAGAAATTATATTATAAAGCATTTTTCGTTTTTCTCTTATTTACAGAATACACTTGAAGGCATAACTAAATTGGCTGTCTTAATCTTGGCTAACAAAACACACGGCATAATATTGAGACTTTCATGTAGTATATAATACGAATTCTTAAAGCGTATATGTGGGTAACAAATAGTAAACGAACGACAACTTCTTGCAGCCAGATTGCAAAGAAATTGATTGTGATATTTATGTGCTAATCCAAACTTCTGAAGCTTGTTTGACTAAAATTTTATGCTTAATAAAATAAAATGGAAAAACAAAATATTTTTGGTTGATAAATATTTGTAGTAAAGTCAAATTTTCCTAAAAATGGTAAGTAACCTCTCTTTGTTTTAAAAAAAATTCTGAATTCATTTAATGTAATATTTGTAGGGTTACAAAAAATATTTAAACTATCGTGCCCATCATTGCAGAAAGTTTAATATAAATTTTTGGTTTTTGTTGATTTGAAAACCTTCTGCAAATCATTTCGTTGCAATAAAGCATTAAGCTGTGCATAGAAAAATAGTCAACAGTCTCAGTAAACTCAGTTGGGCCGACAAAGTTATTGATACAATAATTTTTCAGACGGATACAAATTACACACAACTACATGTATGCAGAACAAAACTCACCCAAATATTAAGATTTCTTTTTACTTAAAATAATTCCAGAAATTGATAGAACTATGCACAAATAAAGCATGTAATTCGCTTTTGTCATATTAGTGGATCGCAAATATTAGTAAAATATTTACATTGAAACAATTTATCTAGTTTTAAACGAGGTAATGATTAACTATGATTATGTGATTATTAAGTGCGGAATGAGTGAATTTACAATAACCCATAATTTATGCCGTGCATAACTTTCGGTGAGACGTTGAAGTTGAAAGAAGAAAATGAGGTAAAAATAATATTCATAAGAAAGTTGTGGTAAGTACTCGCAAACAACTTTAACAGTATTGCCTTAATCAAATGGCATAGAGCATTTAAAGAGAAGAAATAAAGAAAGAAATTCTAAAACTGAAACTGATTGTGTAAAATATATTTTAAGCTTAACAACAAGAATTTTATGTCACAAATAACTAACTGGAAAACAAATAGGACTTCAAATGAAATGCCTGCAGACACAATGTTACCATGTTACCAATACTTTTGTAATCGAAGTGACACCGCAATGCTTTCAAAAAAAAAGAAAAAAAAAACACACACACAACTAAACGGCTGGCAAATAACGGTAGTGGTCTTTATTGCAGCGGCTTGGTCAATAGAAAAGATAAGTTTGCTTCCAATATTTAATACAATTCCGCTAAACAATCTGCTTCATTTTGAGTTTGAGCCACTAGAGCATGTTGCGTCCACCATTGCGTCAGCATACTAACACAGACCTTCTCTAAAATTCTTTGGTGAGATTTGGTGAATGCCAAAATAAAAGTTTAGACCAAGGTTTTGTTTAGTTTGCTGCACAGATTCTTGGCTAGAAGAATTTTACTAAATTTTCGGTTTTTTAGTTTCATTTTGCGCTGTGATTTAACCAGCTTATGATTTATTGCCCTACTGCTCGTAATTTTACAAATATTTTGCCACCCGAAGTTAATTAATATTTTACTACTAAACATAATAGTTGAAAGATGGGCTTTAAATATAGTCTTAGTGAGAAATACCAAATTTTTAAGTCCGAAATACAAAAACTAAGTGACAAGAGGGTTTTTCCAAAAGCAGATGTGCAAAGATTAAGTTTTCAATCCATTTATGTTAAAAAAAATATTATAATTATAAAATGTATCAAATAAGGTGCAACCGAACATTTTGTGTACTTGCAACTTGCAGAAACCAAGGCCAGGGAAATAACTTCTGTGTAAGACGTAAGCTAACGGAGCGAAATATAAGCGTGGTTCTAGTCCAAGTTCCACATTTTTCCACTGTGACATGTAAAATCGATCGGTTGGGTCCAGAGATATGCGATTTCACTAAAAAGTCCAAAGGGTTAACTTCCGATTTCATCCACTTTTATACTGTTGCTAGAAGTTTTTATGATAATTGTGCTAAGTATGTGAATTTGGTTGTTTTAGCTATAATGGTTTAAGAGATATGTACATTAAACTTATCAAAGGTCGGATCCATGGTCACTTTTTCAAGCTCGCATGTGAGGTTTGTTACTGCGATCACTTGCGCCGAAGTAGTTCTGTATATTATATCTTAGTGCTTAGTTATGGCAATTTATATGTTTTCGGTTAAAGGCGATTTGTGGATGTCATAACGATCTGATTATGCCCATCTACGAACTCGTAATTTTTTTGTATCAAGAAACGCGCATAATAAGTTTAATCAAGATATCTCAAGTTTTACACAAGGTACGGCTTGCACGGATGGACGGACGGACTGACAGAATGACAGTCACCCGATTTCAACTTTTCTCGTCATCCTAATCATTTATATATGTACTATATATAACGCTCCATCATATTAGGTTGTCTAAAAAGTCTTGCGGTATTTTGGCTAGTTGGCGCTGAGAGCGCTTAGTTCTAGTTTTATTCATCGCATCGGGTCATGCTATACCTTTTTGGAAAGCTCAACTAACACGTGTTTGATTGAATACCGTTTCTTTTAAGTCGTTCGTGAGTTACAGCGTCGTAAACATGGAGCAAAATAAAGATAAAATACGGCATATTTTACAGTACCACTCTGATAAAGGCAAAAATGCATCCCAAGCCGCCAACAAAATTTGTGCAGTTTATGGACCCGATACAGTTTCCATTTCCACCGCACAACGATGGTTTCAACGCTTTCGTTCTGGTGTAGAGGTGGTCGAAGATGCG